CCTGTGTCCTTGCCCAAACTCAAAAAAGCCTATGAAAAAAGGTGCCAGCGGCATGTCATGGGGCCCCCCTACTGACCCCGGCCCTCAGGCAGTGCCCGAGTTTCCAAATGGTCAGTCTGCCCCTGCCTGCGGCTCACCTGCCTGCCAGCTACCACTGGACTGATCACAGGCACTCATACCCCACCGTGCCCCTGCGGGCCGCGGTCCCACCACACCAGCGGTCCTTGAACCGGAGATGTACGGGAGGGCCTGCCTCTTCACGTCAGGCTCCCTATCCAGGTACGCGACAGAAAATTTTTTAAGATAATTTCATTTTTTAAATTTAAATACTGAAGGGGATTCCGAAGACTAAAAATAACAGATCTAAAAGGTTGTGTGTTTCTAATTTTTAACTCCCAATTCAGATGCACTTCTGCATGTCCTGGGGGCTCAGATTATGGGAAGCAGCTTCTGTGAGCGGTAATGAATATCTCATAAGTGACTTTACAGCTTGCCCCGCCTCCCAATCTGCACGCAATGATTTGAATTGGTTTTAATCAATGTGCCATGTTCTTATTTCTGCTGTGCAAATTCAGTTGCTAGACTGATGACCCGGTTTTAATGCAAAAAAGCTGATGAAATCACTAAATGAATCCACTTTCTTTTCCTTTCCTTGCAACAGCAATTCAGATAAAAGACATATTTTCAATCTTTTTTTAATGCATTATGCTCTATGATGACATAATTCAGGCAGAAGAGTAGGGAAATCTCCGTTTTCACCTTGAAAGATGAGATTTTTTTTTTTTCCTCCTTTGCTGCTTCACATGAGACATCGTTCTCATTATCGCCATCAAAGCTGCAGTTCAGTTTCTGTATCTCAGCAGCTGTCCAAGTTCATGGGAACTGGGGCAGGATTCTTTCCAACTCTAAGATGTGGAAGGTCCAAGCTGCTTGCCTGCTCAGATGCAGGAGATATACCAACAACATAAAGGTATGTTAGTAGGGGATGAGTGGTTTCATGAAATTTCTGATTACAGGACCTGGCACCATTTTTTTTCCATTATCAAAATGTTCAAGACGGGCCTGTACATATTTAGGTAAAACAGGAATTGGTCTTTAGGGCAATGATGAAACTTTTTTTTGTGTAGCACCCTCTTTGTTTGCTAGTTATTAGATAAATTTAGTTGGCTCTTCAATAGGCAGAGGAGCAAGAGTTGATTGGTTAGGGCTGCTCAGGGTTTCACAGGGTGCTGCCTTGCTACTTCCTCCTGTGTTCTGGAACTATCTGGGGACTTCCAGAACATAGTGGGTGGGAGAGCAGAGAGGTTTGCAGCCAGAATATTTATGGAATTTTCCATCAATCCCTGGGGAGGCATTGCCCAGAAGGTGGGGGAAGAGCCCTTAAGTAGTCTGAGCAACAATGGGAAACGAAAACCTGACTTTGTGTGCTCCTTACTTTACCCCCTCATCTCCATCCCACAGCTTACATCACCCTCACTCCTACCCCTCTCCCTTTTACTGCAGCCATCACCTCTTGCAAATACTGAACCCACATGCTGACACAAAAACCAGGGCAGTGAAAAATGTGCGCTCATATACATACAACCCCCATCTTACTTTCCTTACCCTCCTTCTCCTAATCTCTGGGGACATTTTCCCCAATCCTGGCCCTCCATTTTCTAAAAGCAAACCCCACATCCAACACCCCTCCTCCTCTGGAACAGCTGCAATCTACTCAGCTGTTTTAATTTCCTTCCTCCTGCTCCCAAAAACCAGCCCCCCAATCTCATGTGCTCTCTGGAATGCCAGGTCAGTCTGTAACAAGCTCACATCTGTGTATGACCTTTTTAGCTCCCAGTACTTTAACATACTTGCTATAACTGAACTTGGCTTCAGGATTCTGACTCTGTTTCTCCTGCTGCCCTTTCTCATGGTGGCCTCCACTGGACTCACTCACCAAGACCTAGTGGACGTAAAAGAGGTGGAATTTCATTCCTTCTAACCCCACAGACAGAGCACCTTCCAAGTCCTTCCTACCCCTCCCTCTATATCCCTCCCTTCTTTCGAGACACACTGTTCGTCTGTTTTAGCCAATTCCTCTGAGGATTGAGGTGATTTATCGGCCTCCTGGACCAGTATCATGCTTTTTTGAGGACTTCCCTGCCTGGCTACTCTACATTCTCACCACTGAAATACCCACTATTATTCTTGGTGACTTTAACATCCCTGTTAATGTTAACAGCCTGGCTACTGCTTAGCTTCTCAACTTAACCTCATCTTTTGACCTAAACACAAAGGACCCATACTTCCACTCCCTCCAGTGGTAATACCCATGACCTTGTATTCTCCCATCTCTGCACTCCTAGCAACCTTACAAACACCCTCTTTCCTCTCTCCGATCACAACCTACTCACTTTCACCGTGTCCCTGTCTTCAACCACTTATCCCCCCAAGTAGAAAATGATTACTTGTAGAAACCTTCACCACTTAACCCTTCACTTTTCTTTTCTGCTACTGACCACCTATATGGCAAAATCTCTCCCCTTTCCTGTCCTAACCTGGCCATCTCTGTTTACAACAATTCACTCTCATCCTCACTGGATGCACTTGCTCCTCTAACTACATGAAGAATCAGGCCCCGACTGTTATAACCCTGGCAAACTGACAACACCAAAAATCTCAAGAGACATTATCATGCTCTTGAACGATTGTGAAAGGGACCGCCCGGCGGTACCACTAGCACTCCACTGAATAGGCGTCCCCAGTGCATGGAATCTAAGTCCCAGAGTGCTTGTTCACCAGGGCCCCTGATGGTGGGGATGGACTTGGAGCACCCCGAGACCAGGTCGTGGCTACTGGGTATGTCCGTTAGTGGTAGTGGTATACGCCGAGGGCTCCCACGGGAAAGAGTCTGATATGAGGAGGTCTGAAGACCCCACTGCGAGGGATGAACGGATGGATGGTTGAGCAAGGTCAGACAGGCCGGGTCGGTAACAGAGAGGACGGTGCGGTACAAGGCAGCGGGCAGAGAATAGTCGGGTCACACGCCAGGTCAGCATCAGCAGGTCAGATCCGATAGGGGGCATCCAGGAGAGAGGTCAGACAAAGCAAGGGTCAGGACAGGAGAATATGGTAAGGTCAGGTACAATCTGGGTCAATAACTCACAGGGCACAGGTTCACAGATTCAGGAATGCAGGCAAGACCAGAAGGCACTGAATGACAGCTCAGGACCGTTTAAATATCGCGCCCTGCGCTGCCATTGGTGCCCAGCGGGCGGCCGCGGCTTCTACTGCGCATGCGTGAACTCGAACGCCGCGGCTGGCCCGGACCTAGTGTCCCACGTCCCTGCACAGGGTGGCGCACTGCGCTTGCGCCGGGACCATCGCTGCAGGGATCGCGGAGATCCCTGACAGATTGTGGTGTAAAACCAAATTCCTGCAGGACTTCACTCTATATAAACCTGCCCTTCTAAAATACCATTCCTCCCTTCATGCTGCCAAACAAACCTACTTTGTCTCTCTTAATACCTTTTCATCCGGTCCTCGTCGGCTCTTCGCTACCTTTAACTCTCTGCTTTGTCCCCTACCTCCTTCACCCACTAACCCACTCACTACCCAAGAGATTGTCAATCACTTCAAAAACAAGACTGATGCAATCCATGAGGACACATCCACTATACAGATATCTTACCAACTTAACATACCAGGTCTAACAGCACAGTCAACACTTTCCTTTTTTGACCCAGCTACTACTGAAGAGGTTACCAAACTGTTCTCACATGCCCACTTAACCAATTGTCCCCTGGATCCTGTTCCCTCACAACTACTTTGGTCACCGTTTTCTTCTATCCTAGGCTCCCTAACTCACATCTTCAAACTCTCCTCTCTCTACTGGCACCTTCCCCTCCCCCCTAAAGCCTGCACAGATCACTCCCATAATTAAAAAGCCCTCACTGGACCCCACCAATCTGAACAACTTAAGACCCATCTTCTTGCTCCCATTCACCTCTAAACTTCTAGAATACTTAGTATACAACCGTCTTAGCTCCTACCTCATTGAAAACAACCTTCTTGACCCCCTACAGTCTGGCTTTAGCCCTGCAGCACTCCACAGAAACTGTCCTACTAAAGCTCACTAACGATTTACTAACTACTATAACCAATGGTTGCTATTCCATTCTCATACTACTAGATCTCTCTGTGGCCTTTGATACTGTTGATCATCCGCTCCTCCTCAATAAATTCCACTGCCTTGGTCTCCGAGATTCAGCTCTATCCTGGTTCTGCTCCTACCTGTCACAGCGTTCCCTTAGTGTTTCCTATAGCTCTGTTATTGGACCCCTTCTCTTCTCTATCTACACCTCACATGGTCACCTGATAACCTCCCATGGCTTCAAATTCCACTTCTATGACGATGACACCCAAATCTATCTCTCCACTCCTTCAGTCTCCTCTCACATTTCTAACTTACATAGATGTAACACAACTTCCTTAAACTAAATCTCTCTAAAATCGAGCTGATATTTCCTCCCCCATGTGCTGTCAGGAAAGGGCTCACTGCTGGTGGTGCTGTGGCTCACCTGCTCTATGGGCTGCAGTACCGGGACTTACCAGCAGGTGCCTTTCAGCAGCCAGGATCTCACCTGCAATCAAGCCATCACTTGAGGCTGATTGCAGGAGGTGTACTTAACCACTAGCCTACAGGGCACTTATACCCCCTTCCTGCCCAGGCCACTTTCCAGCTTTCAGCGCTGTCACACTTTGAATGACAATTGCGCGGTCATGCAACACTGTACCCATATGAAATTTTTATCATTTTTTTTGAGACAGATAGAGCTTTCTTTATTTAATCACCTCTGGGATTTTTATTTTTTCTTAAACCAAAAACCACTGAAAATTTTGAAAAAAAAAAAAACGTTTTTTTTTCTTAGTTTTTGTTATACAATTTTGTAAATACGTGATTTTTCTCCTTCACTAATGTGCGCTAATGAGGCTGCAGTGATGGGCACTGATAGGCTGCACTGATGGACACTGATAGGTGGCACTAATGAGGAGGCACTGGTAGGTTGCACTGATGGGCATTGACAGGCATCACTGATGGGCACTGAAAGGCAGCACTGATACAGGACACTGATATATGGCACTGATAGGCAGCACTGACTGGCAGCACTGATAGGTGGCACTGAAAGGCAGCTCAGATGGGCACTGACATGTGGCATTGATGGGCACATGGCACTGGCATGTGGCACTTCTGGGGCCACACTGATCATCAGGGCACACTGATCATCAGTGCCCTCATGATCAGTGTACATGTCCCCTCCGCGGAAAGCCGATTACCGGCTCTTCTCTCTGCTCGAGCTGTCAGCGTGACAGCTAGAGAGGAGAGAAATGCCGATAACCGGCATTTCCATGCTTACATGTGATCAGCTGTGATTGGACACAGCTGATCACATGACTGAGCCGAAATCTTCGGCTCTTTCCGTGATCCGCTGTGTCCGAGGAACACAGCGCACCGGCGATCACCGCGCTGCGAGCTCCCTGAGCCGCGCATGCGCAGTGAGAATGGTAGGACGTCATATGACATCCTATCAGAAACGAGAGAACCACCTTGCGCCCATCATTGTACTATAGGGTGGGCGGAAGGTGGTTAAACAGTAACCAGGCCTGTAGTCAGTGCCTTGGTGTTTGTTTCCCATGAGCCTTTGTTGTCCTGTATCCCGACTCCTGTGATCTACTTGCTTGATTCTGACTACTTGCTTGATTTTGACTACAACTGAACTCCGCCTGCACAGACCCAGCTCTCCCTTTGACTATCTGTTTTCCTACTCCTCTGTACCTGACCCGCCCGATTGATCCTGACCCAGCCTGCCTGACTATGCTGTTTTATATTATATATATTGGGTGAAGGTTTGGTTATTTGGTTTTTGTTTGCACTGTGCGTTTTCTCACAATAAATTATATTATTACATCACTCCTGAAGCCTGATATTCCCTGTATCAGTCCACACATCTCTGGTCATATCCGGCTTTCTGACACGTGCACTCCTTCATGACTTTTCCATCAAGATCAATAATACAACTATCAGTCCCTCCCCTCAAACCAGGGTACTAGGTGTAATCCTAGACTCCCATCTGTCCTTTTGGCCCCAAATCTAATCACTGTCCAAAGCTTGTAGACTTCACCTCGTCCGTAACATCATTAAAGTTCGCTCCTTTTTAACCAATGAAACCACCAAGCTACTCATTCACTCCCTTGTTATCTCTCTCCTTGACTATTGCAACTCCCTTCTCATAGACATACCTCTCCGTAGGCTATCCCCTCTTCAGTCTACCATGAATGCTGCTGCCAGGATCATCTACCTTACCAACTGCACACCCTTCTCTGTCAATCCCTCCACTGGTTTCCAATTACCCAGCGAATTGAATTTAAAATACTAACACCACACAAAGCCATCCACAGCTCTGCCCCGAACTACATCACCAATCTTGTCTCCAAGTATCACCCAAACCATCCTCTCCTCTCGATCTCCTGCTCCCAAGCTCCCTGGTCTCCTCCTCCCCAGAGCCTCTCCCAACCTCTGGAGTTCTCTACCTCAATCTATCCGGCTATCCCCTACTCTGGCTGCCTTTAGGCGATCCCTGAAGACTCATCTCTTCAGGGAAGCCCATCACGCCTCAGAATAGACATTTATCACTTCCATCAGCTTATCCCCCACAGTTACAACCTTTTCTACCACTTGCCCCACCCTGTTAGATTGTAAGCTCTTATATGTAGGGCCCTCTTAGGCTGGCCATACATTATACAATTTTCTTGAGATTTTTTGAGGTTTAGATTTACCAAAAACCATATAATAGGAGGTCAAAACTAGCAACACTTTCAATTGTATCCAATTAGGTAGGCACTTGCACTACATACTTTAAGGTAAATCTAAAGGAAATCGGGCAGAAATTGGACAAAAAAAAAAAAAATTGTATAGTGCATGGCCAGCCCAAGTCCTCTTTTTTTGATTGTATTGTATCTGTACTGTCTCCCTTTATATCTGTGCACACTTTTGGTGCTATAGAAGTCCTGTATTATAATAATAATAATAATAATAAGCACAGTGGCTAAATGGTTAGCACTTCCGCCTGGCAGTACTAGGGTCATTGGTACCAATCCCAACCATGGCACCACCTGCCTGGAGTTTGCATGTTCTCCCTGTGCCTGCGTGGGATTCCTCTGGGCACTCCAGCTTCCTCCCACACTCCAAAGACATGCTGGTAGGTTAATTGGCCCCTGTTTAAATTGTCCCTAGTATGTGTATGAATGTGAGTTAGGGACCTTAGATTGTACGCTCCTTGAGGGTCAGGGACTGATGTGAATGTACAATATATATGTAAAGCGCTGCGCAAATTGATGGTGCTATACAAGTACCTGATATAATAAATAATAGTAAAAAGTTGTCCCATTCACTTGAACAGATTGCGTTTGGCAGGCTGTTCAACTGTTACGTTTTATCAACCCTCAACCACGAATGTGAATAAGCCCTTAGCCGCAGGTCCCAGACTCATGATTAAGAATCAGTCTGGCTCCCAACCATGTGATTACTATTACATCCAATTGTATTGATTACCAGCAGACTGGTACTGGTATTGATTCCAACCTGCAGATGGCACAGATCCTCTCTCTTTAAAAGGGCTCATTCATACGTGCGGCTATACTGCCGCAGATCTTTTCAAAGAACGCTTGACAGCCGGTGAGAAGCCAAAATGTGATCTTCTCCGCCTCACCTCCTGCTTTACCCTCAAAATTTCTACCACCAGTTGCAGGGCCTTTGTGGTGTGGCTCCATTCACTTGAATGGGTCACGTCCAGTGGTGGTACCACCCACCGCCACTGGACGCGGCCATGGCATGTGTACATCCTGGAGCTTCTGCAGGTAATGTGCTCCAATCAGCAATCATTTTTGACCATAAGAAAAAAAAAAAAAAATCAAAAAAAGGAGGAGAAGGATGGAACATTTTCTTGTTTGAAGAGACAAAATTGTAATTGTCAATGCAGTTTCCTATGATGAAAAATGATATATACTGTACTACCCATAGGCTATGATCAATGTCACCCAGAAATATCATATTTGTTGCCAGGAACCTTCATTTGTGGAAATGACTGAATGCATGGAGATGTACCAGAGGAAATGGTAAAGTAATCCTGTACAGCACATGTGTCAAACACGAGGCCCGAGGGCCAAATCTGGCCCGCCAAGCCATTTCATGTGGCCCTTGTACTTCTCCAACAGCTGTGACATCAACTATTGTCTCTGCTTTCACTTTGTCTTAGCAGTCCTGCAGCAGAGTGGCGTGCAGAACTCCTCCTATAGATCTTGCCCTTCTCTGTGCAGCTACAGGGAGTCTCATCTCTACCCCCATGAGCAGCAGGATGGAGGACAGAACTCCTCCTATAGATCTTGCCCTTCTCTGTGCAGCTACAGGGAGTCTCATCTCTGCCCCCATCAGCAGCAGGGTGGAGGACAGAACTCCTCCTACAGATCTTGCCCTTCTCTGTGCGGCTACATAGAGTCTCATCTCTGCCCCCATCAGCAGCAGGGTGGAGGACAGAACTCCTCCTACAGATCTTGCCCTTCTCTGTGCGGCTACAGGGAGTCTCATCTCTGCCCCCATCAGCAGCAGGGTGGAGGACAGAACTCCTACAGATCTTGCCCTTCTCTGTGCGGCTACATAGAGTCTCATCTCTGCCCCCATCAGCAGCAGGGTGGAGGACAGAACTCCTCCTACAGATCTTGCCCTTTCTCTGTGCGGCTACAGGGAGTCTCATCTCTGCCCCCATCAGCAGCAGAGTGGAGGACAGAACTCCTCCTACAGATCTTGCCCTTCTCTGTGCGGCTACAGAGAGTCTCATCTCTGCCCCCATCAGCAGCAGGGTGGAGGACAGAACTCCTCCTACAGATCTTGCCCTTCTCTGTGCAACTACAGAGAGGCTCATCTCTGCCCCCAACCAGCAGCAGGGTGGAGGACAGAACTCCTCCTACAGATCTTGCCCTTCTCTGTGCAACTACAGAGAGGCTCATCTCTGCCCCCAACCAGCAGCAGGGTGGAGGACAGAACTCCTCCTGCAGATCTTGTCCTTCTTTGTGCGGCTACAGAGAGGCTCATCTCTGCCCCCAACCAGCAGCAGAGTGGAGGACAGAACTCCTCCTACAGATCCTGTGCTTCTCTGTGGAGCCGTAGCACCCCTTTGTCATTGCATCCCCTGGTCTCAGCATTCATCAGACTCTGGCAGCTGACTCTGATCCTCCTCCAGACCCTGCACTTTCTGCTTGAGGCCGCGTTTTGTTCAGTTTTTTTTTTTTCTTAAGCAGAATTTTTTTTTTTTTTTTGCAGACAATCCATGCGAAAGTTCAGACAAAATTGTCTCCATTTCTGGCCAAGTTTACTCTGCACAAATAAAGTCCGATCTTAAAACGAATACAAAGAATTAGAGTGGGGATTACTGAAGGCAAACAAGCTGTTCATTTTACAAGGGGATTTGACCCTGAGCTTGTGGAATGTGGAGACATTTCACTTTGCAAAGAAAACCTTATCACATGCAAGGAGCAAAAAAAAAAAACAAACAGTATTTTTCCTTCCATATGATTGGACGATGGTAGTCAGCAGAGCAGTCATTAAGTCTAGGTTCACACCTATGCATTTTTGGCTGCATTTTGGAGAAATGCACAGCAGTCCATTTAACATGATCTCCTATGAGACAGATTCACATCTCTGCGTTTTCACCCGGTGCACCCGGAAAGGGTCAGCCCAGGTTCACACTGATGCGGTGTAGAAGTCACACTGGTTTCTGTGCGATTTCTGCACTGCATCACGATCGCACCTGTTTCATGCAAACGGCTGCGGGCTTGTATGTTAAATTAACAACACCCAGAAAACGTGGTGCGATGTGCAGAATCGGATTGCTTGGGTGTGAATACCCATGTGCGATTCTGGTGCACACAAAAAAAAAAAAAAAAAAAAAAAAAAAAAAGGGTCCTGCACTATTTTGGTGCGGATACGGTGCGATCTGAGCCATGCAAAACGTATGGCTCAAATTGCACCGCACAGAAATCGCATGTGATTTGCACAGGAATGCGGTGCGGTTCCTATGCGAATCACATGCGATGTGCTGTACCACAGACGTGTGAACCCAGGCTCGGGGACTATTTTTAAAATGCAAAACGTTGCGTTTTTGGTTCTATGGATGTCAATGGAGACGCTGCAGAAAAGCACGTAGTGTGTTGACACATTTTACTCTGCCAAGCAAGTTGAAAAAAAAAAAAAAAAAAGTGGCAAAAACGCATGTGCAAAAAACACGAAATGCACTGCAAAAAGCACTGCTGAAATGGATCAAACGTAAACTGCATACGTGTGAAACTAGCCTAAAGAGGTATCAGCCTGCCCGGGTTCACATATATGCGGTGCGGTATATCGCATGTGATTCGCACAGGACCCGCATCGCATTCCTGTGCAAATCACATGCGATTTCTGTGCAGTGCA